TCTGTCTGGATTGGAAAATTGCACGTCACTCTGATTTTTAAGTAGAGCAAAAGAGGAAAAGTAGGGAATTACAGAGCAGTAAACCTAACATCATGGTGGGAAATTGTTTGAAACTATAATCAAGGATGGGGTAACTGAACACCTTAAAACTTTTCAGTTAATCAGGGAGATCCAGCATGGATTCATGCAGGTAGGTCACGCCTGACAAAACTTATTGAATTTTTTGAAATGTTGGTAAGGCAAACCAGGGCAGGACTTGTACAGTTAATGTTAGGGCTCTGGGGAGTGTTGCCGAACAAAGAGACCCATGGGTGCAGGTGCATTGTTCCTTGAAAGTGGAGTCTCGGGTAGACAAGATGGCAAAGAAGGCATTTGGCGCACTTTCCTTCATTGGTCAGTGCATTTAGTATAGGAGTTGGGATGTCATATTGTGGCTATTCAGGACATTGGTGAGGCCACTTTTTCAATACTGTGTGTAATTCTGGTCACCCTTCTATAGGTAGGATGTTGTTAAACTTGAGAGGGTGTAGAAAAGATTTACAAGGATGTTGTTGGGCCTGGAAGGTTTGAGCTATAGGGAGAAGCTGTGCAGGCTGGGGCGTTTTCCCTGGAGCGTCAGGGGCTGAGTGGAGACCTTACACAGGTTTATAAAATCATGAGGACCATGTATAGGGTGAATAGCCAAGGTCTTTTTCCAAAACTAGAGGATGTACAATTACAACATTGAAAAGGTATTTGGATAGGTATATGAATAGTAAGGGTTTAGAGAGATATGGGCCAAATGCTGGAAAACGGGACTAGCTCAGACTGGGATGTCTTTTTGGCATGGATGAGTTGGACTGAAGGGTGTGTTTCCATGCTGTATGACTGTAAGGCGTTGAACAGAGGAAAGCTATGGTTGTTGTTTACATGGACTTCCAGACGTTAGTCGCACATGATAAATTCCCACATGAGAGACTTAACTAAGGTTGAAGCCCACAGAATTGAGGACAAAGTACTGACATAGCTGGGAAATTGGTTGAGTAGCAGGTGACAAAGTATGGATAATGTCTTGGTACTCAAATCAGCAGGATGTGACCAGTGTTATCCAAGAGTGATATTGATGACTTGGAAAATGGCATAGAAAGTTGTATATCCAAATTTGATGACGACAGTTAGGCAGCATTGTAGACAATGTGTAATTACAAATTATGAAGGGATATTGATAGGCTAAGTGAATGAGCAAAACTGTGGCTGATGGAACTCAATGTAAAAATGTCTGAGGTTATCCATTTTGGTCTGAAAAAAGGACGGAAATTAAATCCAATGGATGCCCAAAGAGACCTGGGAGTTCACGTGCACAGATCTTTAAAATGTCACAAACAGGTGCAGAAAAAAATCAAGGAAGCTAATGGAATAATAGCGTTTATTTCTCGAGAGCTGGAGTATGAAGTTATGAAGTACAGAAGTTATGCTCCAGTTATACAAAACCCTGCTTAGACCCTAATATCTGTGGTGAGCAGACCTGGGCACCACACCTTAGGAAGGGTGTATTATTCTTGGAGGTTAAGTTATGAAGAGAGGTTATACAAATTAGACCTGTTTTCTGTAGAATTTAGAGTGTTAAGAGGTGATCTCTTGGAAGTCTTCAAGCTATTAATAGGAAAAGACAAGGTAGGTAAACTGCTTCCATTAATTGAGGATTCTAGAGCTAGGGGGCATAGTCTGAGAATTAAGGTCAGACTGTTCGAGAGAGATGTTCGGAAGCACTTCTACGCAGAGAGTATGGTAGATGTTTGGTACTCTTTTCCACAAATGGTAGTGGATCAGTTGTTAATTTTAAATCGAAGAAAGATAATTTTTGACTAAGCAAGGTATTAAGGAAAGTATATGGAGTTAGGCCACAGATCAGCCATGATCTCATTGAATGGTGGAACAGGCTGAAGGGGTTAAATGGCCTACCCTGTTCCTATATTCCTATTCGAGTAATGCTGGCAATTCCCCAAACACTGCCCATCTTTAGTAAACCCTGGGGATACTGTGGTGATCATCTTCTTGCATTATTACATACTTTGGATGATGTTCTGATGATAGTATTAGATAGAGAAAATTACAGAATATGGACTCAGTAATGATCACAAAATGACAATGTCAGTTCAGGATAGTGGAATTTGGTATGGCAGTATTCTTACAACATTCTGCTTTGATGCTCAATGATCGACGTTATGAAAAGGGAGTTACAATTGAAGTCAACTCGGTGAATGTTTGCATTGTAGTCTACGAATGGTATATATCAAAGCCACAGTGCACGGTTTGTGGAGGGGGTGAACACTGATGGTAGTAGCAGGGATGCTAAGAAAATGAGCTCCTCCAACCTAATCTTGTTGGGCTTCTTGTGTCTGATGCATCTTTTTAATCCAACAAGACTTTAAATGCAGTTTGTCTTTTGCATCTTAACAGAGAATAACATGCTCCTTTGTCTCACAGAAGTATTACAGATAAGTTGACAAGGGCCAAAAAGAGAAACTGGGATGGATGGCCAGAAACTTGATCAAAGACATATGGTTTAAGGAGAAGTGATGGAGGTGCCCAATGAGGGAGAGCACAAAACCTCAGTGGCTGAAGCTAGAATGAATCAAAGAACTGTGGATGCTGGAGATCTGAAACAAACGAAAGCGGAAATTGCTGGAGAAACTCAGCACATCTACCAGTTCTGAAGAAGGGTCACAGGACTCAAAATGCTAACTATATTTCCTCTCCACAGATACTGCTAGACCTGCTGAGTTTCTTTGACAGTTTGTTTTTTGTTTGTTGCTGAAGATCGAGCTAGGATAAAGGAAAGGGGCATTTATGAAAGACCAGAATCAGTGGAGAGTAGAATTCTGGGGTGGGACCCAGAGGGCAGCGATGGTTGTGGGATTGGTGGAGATCTAAAGGGGCAAAGTGAGGCCATGAAAGGATTGAAAACCAAGCATCAAAATTTTAGGAAACAAAATACCACAGATGGTGGAAATTTGATATGAATCCAAATATACTAGAAATATTCTGCAGGGCTGATAGCATCTGAGGAGAGAGAAATACAGTTAATGTTTCAGTCTCCTCACAACTGGAGGTGTAAAGGGATGAGCAATAAAGATGTGGAAATTAAAGCCTCTGTAGAGGCAGGGGAAGTGGTGAAGGTAAGGTAGGGGGTTAGTGCTTGTGGGTGATGAAGAACAAAAACATAGCGGATGGTAGAGTACAAGACAGGAGAGATTAAATGACTAAGGCAATGATTTACAAGGTGTAAAGATTTGGTTATGGGGCATGTAAAAGGCAGAAGAAGAGTTTACTTCAGATGTGTATGAAAAATAACGGAATCATCACCAACATATGGTGTGCAGAAACAAAGTCATTTCGAGCAGCAGAGATGATCTGAATAATAATAATTCCGAAGGGTCACTGGATTCAAGACACTAACTCTGCTTTCTCTCCATAGATGCTGCCAGATCTGCTGAGATTCTCAAGCGATTTCTGTTTTTGTACACACTAGTATTTGTTTGCATGAAGAAAAATGCACATTCTGTTTCTTGAGGCACTCTTGCATGCCATGCCCAGAAGAATTGCATACAGATTGACAACACTTAAAGTCTTTGCAGAAGTACTGTAGGCTGTTAACTAGTTAAAAGTGCCTAGTTTACCTGGACGGATAAATTGCCTGATGTTTCTATGGCTAAAGGCACCATAATTGTTAGATCATTGACTTTCAGGGCAACTGGATTTGCCTGAGAAGAGTTTTAACTTATCCAGATATAATCATTGAAACAAGCTGGTTATTAGCCATCAACAACCTCCGAGTGTTCAGAAGAGTATTTTGCTCAGATCATGAATAACAAGGCTTCGACAGAGGACCGCTTCTGTTCTAGCCTTCAACCACCAACTTTCATGTCAACCCAACCGTTAAGAGACACTGCTTACCTTTCCCCTCCCAACAGGAGGATACTCACTAGTTCAGCAGAAATTGTCTGAAGGATACAGGCTTAAGCCTTTGCTGAAGGAGAGCAAGTGTAGGTAACTACTCTTGTTCATTATCCTCTGTCATTATGCTGGTCATTTTACCAAAGAAGGTTAGTAAGCAGCTACAATCTGAACAATGTTCACTAATACATTGCAAAGCAAATCTGTGTTGATCTTGTCAGAATGGCATGAATGATTACTAGGCTTTTTTTTAAACTTGATGGATTCTGTTTTATATTCTAAGAGAACTTCTGACAGAGGGCTATTTTGAAGCTCTAACTTATTACTCCCAAGTAGCATTTCCAACATTGTTGGAACATTACTTGACTGTTTTCATCTACGTACATCAAAAACTGCATTCTGGGAACCTAGAAGATTTAATATATAATGCCCGATAGAGTTAACCAGGGATACCATCGTGTAGAATATAGCTAGGAAGGTTTGAACAGAATGATTCTACATAATGTAATATGATTGCTGCACAATGCAGATGTAATCAGTGATGTCAGCTGGCCATCACAGGACAGGCTGCAGGAAGTGACTGTGCACGTGCACAATGACCCACATGGTGACACCATTATCGGTGCATGTGCTGCTGAGAAGGGGTCGAGGAGGTGAGGTGGTGGCCGGGCCCAGTTGGAGTGTGTGTTATTGGCTGAAAACTGGGACCATATTCCCTCGTCAGTTGTTGATGCTTGCCCAGAGGTGGGGAGAAGGCGTGGTGTCTTCCTGTGGACCAGATCTGTGTTGCACTGCATTGGCTCCAACTGCAGCCCCCACCCCACCCCACCCCACCCCACCCCCATTTCCCTCTGAGCCCAGTCATTTGCCTTCAATATGATTATCCACATTTTTCACGCATGCCACAACATCATTTCCTTCCTCGCTGATTGGTTGTGACAGAGTGCATGTCCGTTCTTTGTTACCTGGTGATAGCGTTCACAATAAATGTAGACAATTTTGAATTCCTTTCCATAGGATCATGATTTCAGCTGATTTTGATAGAATAAATCTTTGCCTTTCAGAATGGGAGCATCTGACAATATCTACAAAGGTCAAAGTACATTTATGGAAGAGCTGACAGAGGCTGCTGAGATCATTAAAAAAGCAACATCTCGATCGTTAATAATTTTGGATGAATTGGGAAGAGGCACAAGTACTCACGATGGTATTGCCATCGCTTATGCTACTCTGGAGCACTTTATTAAAGATGTAAGTATTTTACATGCCAAATGAATTCCCAGAATGCTAGATATCTAAAGCTGTTAGTACTAAAGTTGGATTTTGGTGCGTCAGTAAGGTCAAAATGCCCTTTTACTGTTGTTCTTTTATTATTTCAATCTGGACTGAGTGTCTATTCTCTCTGTTGATGTATTGGATTGTGTCCCTAGAATCAGAGAATGGGTACATCTTTTTGTGTCCCTAGAATCAGAGAATGGGTACATCACAGATGTAACCTTTTGGCCAGCTCATATGGTCCTACTTCCTTGTCCTTTCTCCAAAGTGCTGTAATTCTTTTCTGCAAGTTCTTATATAATTTGTTTTGAGTGCCTTGTTTGTTTCAGCCTTCATCATATTCTCAGGCAGCTGTTAACCACTCGCTGCACTGAAAGATTTTTCTTCTGTTACCATTGTTTCTGTCAGTCTTTTTTAATCTATATCCTCTGTCTTTCATCCTTTCTGCCAATGGGAGCAGTTCCTCCCTAGCTACTCTGTTTAGACCCCTCAGTATTTTGAACATTTCTACTGAAAATTTATTCCCCTTTATACTATTTAAGGAAAATAATCTTAGCTTCTCCAGTCTACAATTGTAACAGAAAATCTTCTTTCCTAGGATTATTCTTGTAAATTATTTCAGCACCCTCTTTAAAGCTTCCGCATTCTTCCTGAAATACCTAGAATTAAACACCGTACTCCAGTTAAGGTTAAATCAGTGTTTTTTTTAATGGATTTAATGTGACTTCCTTGATTTTGTACTCTATGCCTCTGTTTATAGAATTCAAGGTTTCATGTGCTTTTTTAACCACTGTCTCAACTTGCCCTTTCACCTCAAACATTTATTCACATATACCCCCATATCCCTTTGTCTTACATCCCCTGTAGAATTGTACCCTATTCTTCCTCGTACTAAAATGTACCAGTTCATATTTATCTGCACTTAATTTTATCTGTTACTCGTCCACCTACTTCACCTGCCTATCTATATGTCCTCTTCAAATGTATCTCTACCTTTTTCTTAGAACCATAGAATCATAGAGCCTGTACAGTGCAGAAAGAGGCCATTTGGCCCATCGGGCCTGCACCAACTTTCCGAAGAGTATCCCAACTCAGGCCCAGCCCCTGTCCCCCCCATTAACTACTAGCTAACATGGCTAATCCACCAACCTGCACATCCTTGGACAGTGGGAAGACACTGGAGCACCTAGCAGAATCCCACACAGACATGGGGAGAATGTGCAAACTCCACATAGTCAGTCTGCCAAGGCTGGAAATCAACCCGGGTCCTTGATGCTGAGAGGCAGTAGTGCTGACCCACTGATCCACCCTGGTACCCTCATTCTTGTTAATAGAACCACCAAGTTTTATATAATTTGCAATCTTTGAAATTGTGACCTGTACGCCCAAGTCTCTGGGGCCTGAATATAAATCAGGAAAAGTAGAGCTCCTAGTGGGAACCCTGCTATTTACTTCACTGCAGACTAAGAAACAACTATTCATCGCTGTTTCCTGCCCTGCTTCCTGTCGCTGAACTAACTTTGTATCCATTCTGCCACTTTCTGTTGTAGCCTGTGGGTTTCATGCCTACTGGCCAGTCTGTTAAGTGGCACTTTTTTGAAAAACTTGAACTCCTTGTGCACGATATTAACTGCATTATAATCATCAACCATCTCTGATAGGTCTCCTCAGGCCTACACGAGATAAATTGCAGTGATTCAAAAGGGCTCACTAACACCTTCTGAAGACAATTAGAAGTGGTGGACTTGAACTGATTGGCTGCCGAGACCATTTTATAGGACAATTAAGAGTCAACCATAATGCCCTAAAGGGCTCTAGTGAACCAGACGGGTTTTTACAACAATTAACAGTGGTTACATTAGACTAAGGTTTTAATTCCAAATTTTACTCAATTTACATTTCACCATCTGCCATAAGAACGTAAGAACTAGGAGCAGGAGTAGGCCATCTGGCCCCTCGAGCCTGCCCCGCCATTTAATAAGATCATGTCTGATCTTTGAGACTCAGCTCCACTTACCCGCCCACTCACCATAACCCTTAATTCCTTTACTGTTCAAAAATTTATCTAGCCTTGCCTTAAAAACATCCAGTGAGGTAGCTTCAACCGCTTCACTGGGCAGGGAATTCCACAGATTCACAACCCTTTGGATGAAGAAGTTACTCCTGACCTCAGTCCTACATCTGCTTCCCTTTATTTTGAGGCAATGCCCTCTAGTCCTAGTTTCACCTGCTAGCGGAAACAACCTCCCTGCCTCCACCTTATCTATTCCCTTCATAATCTTATATGTTTCTATAAGATCTCCCCTCATTTTTCTGAATTCTAATGAGTATAATCCCAGTCTACTCGGTCTCTCCTCATAATCCAACCCCCTCAACTCCGGAATCAACCGAGTGAATCTCCTCTGCACCCCCTCCAGTGCTAGTATATCTCTTCTCAAGTAAGGAGACCAAAACTGCACACAGTACTCCAGGTGTGGCCTCACCAGGACCCTATACAGCTGCAGCATAGCCTCCCTGTTTTTAAACTCCATCCCTCTAGCAATGGCAGACAAAATTCCATTTGCCTTGTTAATTACCTGCTGTACCTGCAATCCTACTTTTAGCGATTCATGCACAGGGACTTGGGTGTCCTTGTGCACAGCAGCGTGTTGCAATTTTTTACCATTTAAAACATAGTCCATTTTGCTGTTATTCCTACCAAAATGGATGACCTCACACTTATCAATATTGTTCTCCATCTGCCAGACCTTTGCCCGCTCACTTTGACTATCTATATCCCTCTGCAGACTTTCAGTGTCTTCTGCACACTTTACTCTACCACTCACCTTAGTGTCATCTGCAAATTTTGACACACCACACTTAGTCCCCAACTCCAAATCATCTATGTAAATTGTAAACAATTGCGGTCCCAACACTGATCCCTGAGGCACACCACTAGCCACTGACCGCCAACCAGAAAAACACCCATTTACCCCTACTCTTTGCTTTCTACTGGTCAACCGATCCTCTATCCATGCCAATACATTACCTGTAATACCGTGCAACTTTATCTTATGTAGCAGCCTTTGGTGTGGCACCTTGTCAAATGCCTTCTGGAAATCCAGATACACCACATCCACAGGTTCCCCATTGTCCATCATGCAAGTAATGTCCTCAAAGAATTCCACCAAATTAGTTAAACATGACCTACCCTTCATGAACCCATGCTGGGTGTTCCCAATGGGACAATTTACATCCAGATGTCTTGCTATTTCTTCCTTAATGACAGATTCATGTATTTTCCCCACTACTGAAGTTAAGCTAACTGGCCTATAGTTACCTGCTTTTTGTCTACTTCCTTTTTTAAACAGTGGCGTCACATTGGCTGTTTTCCAATCTGCGGGAACCACCCCAGAGTCCAGTGAATTTTGGCAAATAATTACTAGTGCATTTGCTATTTCCCCCATCACCTCTTTTAGTACCCTGGGATGCATTTCATCAGGGCCAGGAGACTTGTCTACCTTTAGCCCCATTAGCTTGCCCAACACTGCCTCCTTTGTGATAATGATAGTTTCTAGGTCCTCACCTGCTATAACCTTCTTGCTGTTAGTTTTCAGCATGTTATTTGTGTCTTCCACTGTGAAGACCGACACAAAATAACTGTTTAATGTCTCAGCTATTTCCTCGTTCCCAGTTATTAAATTGGCCTTCTCATCCTCTAAAGGACCAATGTTTACCTTCTCCACTCTTTTACGATTTACATATTTATAGAAACTTTTGCTGCCTGTTTTTATATTCTGAGCTAGTTTACTCTCATAATCTATCTTACTTTTCTTTATAACTTTTTTTATGGCTTTCTGTTGGCCTTTAAAGATTTCCCAGTCTACTAGTTTCCCACTACTCTTTGCTTTTTTGTATGTTTTTTTTTCAATCTGATACTTTCCTTTATTTCCTTAGACATCCATGGCTGGCTCTCTCTTTTCCTACAGTTCTTCCTCAGCACTGGAATATACTTCTGCTGAGCACTGTGAAAAATTGTTTTGAAAGTCCTCCACTGTTCCTCAATTGACCCACCATAAAGTTTTTGCTCCCATTCTGCCTTGGCTAACTCCTTCCTCATGCCTTCATAGTCTCCTTTGTTTAAGCACAGGACACAGGTACTGGATTTAACCTTCTCACACTCCATCTGTATTTTAAATTCGACCATACTGTGATCGCTCCTTCCGAGAGGATCCCTAACTGTGAGATCATTAATTATTCCTGTCTCATTACACAGGACTAGATCTAGGATAGCTTGCTCCCTCGTAGGTTCCATTACATATTGTTCAAGGAAATTATCGCGGATGCATTCTATGAACCCCTCCTCAAGGCTGCCATGACCGACCCTGGTTTGACCAATCGATATGTAGATTAAAATCCCCCATGATAATTGCTGTACCATTTTTACATGCATTAGCTATTTCTACGTTTATTGCCGGCCCCACCACAATGTCGTTATTTGGTGGCCTATAGACCACACCTATCAGTGACGACTTCTCCCTGCTATTCCTAATTTCCACCCAAATGGATTCAACGTTTTGTTCAGTAGAACCTGTATCATCTCTCACTACTGCCCTGATATCATCCTTAAAAATCAGAGCAACACCACCTCCCTTACCTCTCTGTCTGTCCTTCCGAACACTTTGATGCTCCTGGATATTTAACTCCCAGTCATGACCATCCTGTAACCATGTCTCTGTAATGGCCACTAAATCATACCCATTTGCCATGATTTGCACCGTCGACTCCTCCACCTTGTTTTGAATGCTCCAAGCATTCAGATAAAGTGCCCTTATGCCAGTTTTTGCACCACCTTTTTGGGTCCTATTACTTCCAGTACTAACAGTTCTGGAGTTCTCCTTCCCTTTAACTTTTTTCCTAATAGTGGGATTCATGTCCATGTGCCTGGAACATTAGCCTGGGTGTTTGGATTACCAGCCCAGTGACCTTGTCACTAC